GCAAGATGCTAAAGAAAAGGTGTAAGTTATCAAACAAAGATTGTTAACATCTCAAAGTAGACAAAAGTCTTATGCAGATCGTCGTCATAGAGAGTTAGAATTTATGGTGGGAAACAAAGTTTTCTTGAAAATATCACCAATGAAAGGTATTATGAGGTTTGGAAAGAAAGGTAAACTTAGCCTGAGGTACATTAGTCCATTTGAAATACTGAAAAGAGTAGGTGCTGTTGCTTATTGTCTTGCATTGCCTCCAGAGTTAGTTGGCATTCATCCCGTGTTTCATGTATTAATGCTACAAAAATATTTGTATGATCCTTCTCATGTGGTTGTAACTCAGAAAGTCCAAATAAATGAAGACCTAACCTATGAGGAAGTTCTAGTAGCCATTCTTGATAAGCAAATAAAAAACTAAGATCGAAGGAGCCACTTGGGAAATTGAGAGTGAAATGGGAGACAAGTATCCACATTTATTCTAAAACTAAGGTAAGTAAACTCTTTTCAAATTTAGGGGACCGAATTTCTTAAGGGGGAAGAATGTGATGACCCTAAATTTTAAGTCGAACAAAATTTTCTTAAAATATTTTTATTTAAATAAGTTCCATAGAAATAAAAAGGGGGCATTTATAGGAAAAAAAATCTGTTAGAATTTGTGCAAGGATTAAACTTTTCAAAGAAAAACCTTGCTTTTAAATTATAGAAAAATTTTGTGTTCCTTACCATAATTTTCTTGTTCCTTTTATTGTAATTTCCTCATGCTCCTTTTTTTGTAAATTTACACTTTGATTCATTTTCTCACCATCTTCCTACACTCTTCTAGATCATTTAAGTTGGTCCATTTCTTTAATCCTTATCAACACACTTAACTCGTTGTTAACTGACCATTTTGTGGTTGTCATTGCTTCATATCACCTCACCTTCTCGTCCTCGTCTGTTAGTCATGTTTAAACTAGGTTGCTGATTTTCTCCCACTATATCGTGCTGTTCTGTGTCCACGAGAGTCTATTAGCAGTTTGTTGTCTTAGCTACCACCTTCCTTTTCTTCTCGGTCTTCATTTGTCAGTCATAGTAAAAAGGTATATCCCTTATTCTCTTGCTCTGTTTTGCGCCGAATTTGGGTACGCACGGTGGTCAATTTTTCTTTCCTCTTTTCTTCCTTCCTTGTTGTCAAAGTTCAATGTGGGAGTAGGTGGTTGCTGTTTCTTTTATTGTTGGCTGGAATCATAGCTTCTTCCTCCTTGTGTGTTGACAGATTTGAACCCCTAGCTTTTTCTGCTTCAACGTTGTTCTGTGGCTGAATTAGACTTGCTGCTACTAAGCTTTGTTGAGGTGAGATATTGTTTTCTTTCTCTCCTCGTTACACTATGTGGTACCGCTGAATCATTCCCTCCTTCTTCCAACTGATTGATGTGATCCCTGTTCTTTATTCTTGATACTCTAATTGTCATTAAGACTAAATTGTTGCATTAGGATCAAAAGTTCAACCTAGGATTAATTTTTTGGCCTTCTATATGTTAGATGCACTGAACCTTTCTCTACATTAGTGCTGCTGGACAATTTTCTTTGTTAGTCTTGAGTAATATATAAACAATGGAGGGTGTGATTTGAATGTTAATGCATTTACTGTGTTGAGAAAATAAGTAGAAGAGTCAAAGGGGAGTAATTAAGTATATTCAAGGCCTAAAGACCAATACTATAGATTTAGGAATTGTTTTTTTTTTTGAACTCTAATCTATTTCCAATGAAGAAATGTGTTTAGAAAGCAAATTGAAATTTATCTGGTTGGATTAAGGTCAAGTTGCCAATTTGATAAGGAAATAATAAATGATTGATTTTAGGGTTTTTGATTTACTTGCTAGGAATCTAATGGCGTCATTGGAATTAAGGTGAGAGGTCGGAAAGAACGAGCTTTAAAATTTAAGAAACTCTCAGGTGAGTGGGTAGATTTCTAAGTAAATTCTTAGGAAAGTGTTTACAAAAATCTCCCTATTTAGAATTTTAGCAATTATCTTTTATAAATTGTACAATTATTCTCATTTATCCTATTTTCCTAATAATTGTTTTATTAAAGAGAAGGTGTTGATTTTATGGGTAGTTTATATAATTGACAAATATTGATGAAGTAATAATAATAATAATTGATCGGTATTTGAAAGTGGAAAAAGAAGAAGAAGAGAAAAGAAAATTTTGAAATTCTCTCTTGCTTCATACATGTTATAGTTTACTGAAGGGGACTGAGTTCAAAACGCTGGATGCTAATGCCAGTTCTATTAGCCCTTGGTGCATCATGGTACACCTAGCTAGCAGGGTGCTTCTGGGAGGTGCTAGCCCCGTGCGTAGGCCAACGCATGTGGAACGGAGGGATAGTTATTCGTGACTATCATACTCACACTTGTTTTTGTGGGCTTTATGCCTGCGCTTGATTCGTGGATCTTGCCATGCTTCTTATGTGGCTCTTGCCACGCTTCTTACGTGGCTTTTAGTTGCGCTTGATGGGTTATTTACCCTCGTAGACTGTGTGTCCACGCTTGTTATTCATTCTAATAGAGCCCTCCTAAATTTTTGTTAACATTTTTAGTTTTCTATTTATTCTCTAAAAGCCTTTTTATCAAATTGCACCATTATTAAATATTTTTATATTTTGGGTAGTGGGATTTTTATTTTAAACATATATGTGTGACTTTACTAGCATTGACTAATTTCACGATCATCTTATAAAAAAAATTAAGATTGTTATCTATTTCTAGTTAAGGGCAATTCATTATTTTATCAAGGCATTTGAAGTTAAATTTATTATTTATTATCTTCATATTTTCTTTACTACAATTTTGATTGGAACACTACTTACCGGTAAATTTTTAATCTTAGATAGTATAGCTGACCCTACGCCTCCAGCTGACCATTGAAGGCCTTCTTGTTTTTGGGGAAAAAGGAAGCACATAGTGACTATCCTTTTGGTGAAATTTCATTTTGCATTTTGTAAATTATAAGTTAGCGCTCCACGTACCTTATGATTAGGCATTAATCTCTTGTTATGATGTAAATTGCTAAAATGGAAATAGTCTCCTTGTTGGTTGGGTTGACAGGTTTTGTTGTTGTTGTGAAAATTTCGAGAGGGTCAAATTATAGGGGAGAATCTGCCAAAATTTTCACAAAACGTTTAGACTTTGCTAACTTTATTATTAATGAATATAACTTACATATACTGAGATTTTAGCTAAATTCTCATTAATCAAGGCTTATGGAATATGAGCTCACCTTATATTCCATGCCGATCATACCCTTAAGTATTAGGGTGTGACAAAGTCCATATTAGAATAGTGAAATAGCCCTGTACGAAATTATGCAATACAATTAATAGTAACAATTAAACATTACATATTGAAATTGAGGCCAAGGTGCTTCCCACTCAACCATAAAAGCCGTCGATCCTCTTCCAGTTTTAGACTCTGCCTTTAATGAAGTAGCCAAGCATGACTCATGCCATGCCCCATTGTTGTCCTCATTCATCTAACTATTAACTCCATTCACATTCTGCAGTACCACTCATTTTTTTATAAATAAAAGTTTAGGTGAATTGAGTTCCAATGACTCATCGGGGTTAGGGCATGCTTTTAGGCTTAATGAATAATTATCATATCACCCACGAACAAAGTCTTCACATTAGCAACGGGATTTAATTCCATGACCTTATTAGTTGTGGGTCAAATCCTTATTAGTTGAACAAATCTTGTTGGTGAATGCATTAGCATTCTACTAGACCCTTTCTTACTTTTCACTTTTTGTCTGGTATATAAAGTAATATCCCAAGAATTTTAGGAAAAAATAAATAAAATATATTATCAGCACTTTTAAGTGTTTTTTATAAGATTTGGAGAAGATGTGTAATAACATAGAAATTTAAGAAAAATTAAAATTAATGATAAAGTATTTTGAGTATATTTTATTAGGTAAAAGAGCAAATTGGTCTATAAACTATGAGGCTTTGAAATTTAGGAAATATTTTTATGCAATTAATAATTAATTTGTAATGACCTAGAAAAATATTGACAAAAAATTAAAATCAATGATAAGCTACTTCATTATATTTTATAAATGTTGGAGCAAATGCACCAAAAGGGAGGGTGATCCTGTGGAAACTTTCCTGGAGTCTGCTCCCTAGTTCTTTGTGCGATTCCTCATACTACAAAAGCGGGGAGTTTAATTTTTCACCTGCCAAATGAAATTTCCATTTTTGGATTCCTTTTGAATCAAAAGTTTCTTGAGATATCACTTTGATAATTTGTTCTGAGCCTCACAAAGTTGATATTTTGCTTGATCCGTTGAGTTTAAAAGAGAGCAATGTTCTTGTAGTCATAGTCTCATGGATTTTATTTCATGTTATTTAGTAAACTACATGGTTATGAATGAAGATTGAGGTCCTGTTTGATTATTATAAAGGAATGGAATAAAATGAGTTAAAAAAATTAAGACAAAAATAAACTAAATCACCTTTCTCCCATGGTAAGTATGATAAAATTTATTAATATATATTATAAATGTGAAAATCATTTTACCCTCTAAAAAAAATCTTATGAATCATTATTTCTAACTCCATTAACTAAATTATCTCTCTTCCTTATAAATGTGCTCACTGATCTACTTTGATAATCTTATTTTTACCTTTATTGTTTTAATTCATTTCATTTCATTCCTTTCTAAAAATGTAATGATCCAAAATTTTAAATTAAACATTTTTAATTGATATTTTCATTTAAATTAGTTTATAGAAAATCAGGAGTGGTATTTTAGTGGAATTAATTTTAGTAACTTTTTGAAGGTCTAAAGTTGGATTTTCATTGAGCAAAAGTTTGATTTTATTTCGTTTTAAATTATAAAAAATTTTGGGCTCCTTCTTGTAATTTTTCCTTGCGTCATACCTTGTAGTTTTCCCAAATTTCCTTTTTGGACGGAACTTACATTCTCCCTAGCGAAACAGAGCATTGCGTTTTACCTCAATTTTTTTCTTTTCTTCACCGACATGGGCTCCCCTGATTCTTTACTGTCGATTTGCGTTTCTGCTCTTCACCATCGACTTGCTTCCTAGATCTTTGCCATCGGCTTCCTCTGTTCGCGTCGCTATTTCGCAGCTGGGAGTGGGAGATCACTGGATTCGCTCCCTTGTTCGGCCGTTCTTTTCCTCTTCTCTGCTTCGTGGCCGACAGTGATGCGTGGTGCGTCATCTTGAACTTCTCTTCCTCCTCAGTTCTGGGCGTGAGGTAACCTCAATTTCTCTTCCTCCTATGACCGATAGGTGCTGTCTCTTCTTTGATTTATGCTGCTAACACACACACACACACACACACACACACACACACAAAAGGAGAGAGAGAACAAAGAAACTCATTTTAATTGCAATGGAATTGTTGGAGAAGGAAGGAAGATGGGAACTAAGTGAGAGTTTGGAAAGGTTTGATGGCTGTTATATCTTACGAAATCAGTTAAAAAAAACAGAGAGAGATTTGAGAAAACTCTAATAGGTTGTGTTGGCATTTTGAAATATATAATTGTTGAATTTGAACTGAGGTGTGTTGGTGTAACGATTGGATGTTATTTTATTTTGATGCCAAGTTGAATTTGATGTAATTTATTTTTGACAAGTTTGAAAGTGTTTGAAAAGGATTATTGATAGAGGGTTAAGAAGATGTTTATTTATATATCATCTTGAGTGCCGATAAGGTGTCTGTTAAAATGCCTAAAAGAGAAATTATAACAATGAGAAGTTTAATGTTATGTTAAGTGGAGTTGTAGGGATAGACTATAATTTGTTATATAGTTTAATTGATTCAAGTATATTTAAAATTTAAATGATTATGGTGCTATTTTAAATATTAGTTGAATATCCACCAATTGTTTGGGAAATTACTTGACAAGTAAAGTTGAAGGATGTAGTGAGAGATTAATACAGTAAAGATAATTTTGTTAGTTGTTGGAAATTGATAGTTAAATACTTACTTACTTATATTAAGAAAAGAGTGACAAAAATGATTTTAGGATTGTGATTTATTTGTTTGGGAGTTAATGGCATTGTTGGAATTAGAGTGAGAAGTTGAAGTAAACTAAGCTTTAGAACTCTTGGAAAATTTCTCAGGTGAGTAGGTAGTGTGCCAAATAATTTCTTACAAAATATTTATAAAATTTCTTTATTTAATTTTTTACATTATTCCTTTATAAGTTGTATAAATAATCTTGTCAATTTTAATTTTCATACAATTTTTTTTATTTACCTAACTTTTGTATGAACTGTTATTATGAAATCTGCTTTATATTCATTAAGAATTATGCTATTGTGAAAGAATATTTGAATCCAATACATTATTAACAGAACATTTATTCTAAACATTTTTGTTGTTTAAATTTTTATAAGTTAAACTACTGTTATTAAAGATGGTGATTCATGCATGGAGGAAATTGGTGAGAAAATTTGATAGTTGAATATTATATTTTGAAAAGAATAGTTTTCAATGAATTTTTCAACCTCATGCACGCTTGATTTTAATCAGGGGGACTAAGTTAGGATGCTGGAAGCTAACGGCAGTTCCGTTAGCCCTTGGTGCGCCATGTGCGTAGGCAGGGTGTTTGTAAGAGGTGCTAGCCTCGTGCGTAAGCCAACACACGTAGAATGGAGGGATGGATATTCGTGAGCATGGTACTCACGCTTGTTTCATGGGCTTCGTGCTTATGCTAGTTTCGTGGTTTCTAGCCACGCTTGATTATTTCGTGCCCTTAAGCTGCACTTGTTGGTTATTTACTCATGTAGACTGTGTGTCCATACTTGTTAATCGTTCTGACAAAGTCCCATTAAAAGTGAATTTTTAAAAATTTATTATTTTTAAATTTATTCTATTAAACAAACTGCTGTTTGACCGTATATGATTTTGCATGGTAAATTCCCTTCTAGATTGGTTTAAAAAAAATTATTGTTTTATTTTAGTTATTCATAAACATTTTTTTATTATATCATTATTTGAATTCCTTTTATATTTCTATGAGTTGTACAATTCTTGATAACCTATAAAACTTCAAAATTATTGGTTTATTTCATGATTATATTATTGAGCAACTTTGTCATTTATTGTTAGTAAAATACGGGTTTTAATATTTCATTGATTTGTTATAAACTAAATTTTTTTAATTATTACTTGTACATGTTTTATCTATGATTTTTATTGAGACGCTACTCACCAGAAAATTTTTTTGGTCTCAGATAATGTAATTGACCCTGCACCTCCTGCTAATCATTAAGGGGCTCTTTTGTTTTTTGGACAGTGGAAGCATACTTCAATCATTTGTTTTAATGTAAATAGTTATTATATTATACAATGGTAGTTAGTGCTCTATGTATATCGTAGTTAGGTTTTAGTCCTATTTTTGTTGTCATGTAATCTGTTGGTGTGGAGTTAAGTTACTCTTCTAGATTTGCTTATAGGTTTATTGATTATAGAAATTTTGGAATGTTCTAATTACAGGGAAGATTCTGCTGAAATTTCTACTGAATATTTAAGACTTTATGAACTTTATAATTATATATATATATATATTATATGATTTATTGATCAGTATAAATATCTATCATTGTTATAGTTTAATATTTGGATAATTGAGCCTTATAGAATATGAGTTTATCTCATATTTCGTGTCGGTCACACCATTAGCATTGAGGTATGACAAGAAAGCAAACAGAATCTTATTATTATATTTGTACTTTGATGTTTTGAATTCAAAAATAGTGGCCTTGGTTGTCCAGTTGAAACCCTACTAGTGTTTACTCTTAGGTTCTTTGTTCGATTCCTCATATTGTAAAAGTGAAGAGTTTTATTTTTCTAATTCGGCCAAATGAAATTTACATTTTTGGATTCCTTTTGAAATCAATAGTGACCTTTGGTGGTCAAGATTTTTCATTGGAAAGAAGTTGATTTTCTTATATTGTAGAACTTGATTTTTGATATTCTGTGTGTGCATATATATATATATATATATATATTGGCCTTACGCTTGAAAGGTAATCGTTAGCCATGTGCTCTTCTTAAAAATTTTGAGATAGCTGTTGTTGCAATGGGTTTTAGTTTATGATAGCTATGCGGGAAACTTGCTTCCATGTGATTTTTGTAATTTAAAATGAAATTTACTTAGTGAGCATGACTTATTACAGATAAATTCTTTACTTGATGACAAAACATGTATTTTATCATTCCAACTTGAGGAACAAAGTCAAAAGGATATGTATTTCTTACAAATTTTGTATTGATGTGTAATGGTAAGAACTTGATTTTTGTTTGAACTGGAAATAAATATGTTGCCAATACTTATCTTGATTTTGTGTTAAGACAAAGTTTGCACTTATGCACTTTTTTATTAGGCTAAAAAAAATATGTAAGGCATGCAAAATTATGTTGCAGGAGAGATTTGCATGTCAGGCTATTACACATATTTATAATTTGTTTTGGTTAAAAGGATTGGTTGTTTAAGATTTTGTGTGGAGTGCCTTGTATTTAAAGACTATAACAAGAACGTAACTAATTTTATTTATGTTCTACTTGTATCTAGAGGTTTATGCTAAATTTTAATTGCTACATTGAGAACTAAATTTTGGATTGAAATTCGGTCTAAACTAAGTGGGCGTCTAATTTTCTAGAGGTGTCAATTAGAGCCGGCCTTTGAAGGATCAGGGCCTAAACAGGCTAGCCATCAGTGCAACCCTAGCTCTCAAGGTTCTCTCTCTCTCTCTCTCTCTCTCTCTCTCTCTCTATATATATATATATATATTTTTAATTTAAAAATTCTAAAAAAATATTTAAAATCCAAAAAAAAGTTATTACACATAACATTAAATCTATAAAAATAAATTTTAGTCTAATAAAAAGCATCATCCCAAAATCAACACCGATAACAATTAGATTTTGTTACCATCATAAGCTAAATCTTAATGATTTTCATTATCATCCACATCAATATAATTTCATCCTTCTCTTTGTGGAGCATCAATAGTAGCAAATATATTAAGCTTTTCATATATTCTTTCTTCATTGTCATGAAATGAGGCTAGGGTTTTAAAATTAGTGTAGTATTTAATTTTTTTAATCTTAAAATTTAAAAAAATTACAAAAGGGCTTAGGGCTGGCCCTTTCCAGCCCTTTTAAGCCCAAATTATTATTTTATACTCTAAAATAACGGCCCAGCCTTAGATTTTTGGGGACTTAAAAGGGCTGGCCCAACCCTAATTAATGGCTATATAATTTTTCAAAGTATATTACATATTTCTCAACTCTCTAGATACTACTTGTGAAGTGGTGAACAACTCTTCAAATGGTCTCTTAACTCTTCAAATGGTCTCTTCGATTTAGAAAACTTATAAAATTAAATTCATTGGGTATTATGTGAAACTGGTGAGTATTTATTGGATGTGCTTCCAGGATTTGAGATAATTAAGTCTAAACTTATCACTCTCATGCTCATATATAATGTGTAGTTCGGATAATGATCATAATTGTGATATATAGGCATATCATCTATATATATAAATTCAAAGGATTGAATTTTTTAAGAGATGAGGAATGTAATGGCCTGGGAATTAAGGAAATATTTTTATGCAATTGATAATTAATTTGTAATGACCGAGAAAAATGTTAATAAAAAAATTAAAATCATTGATAAGATATTTACTTGATTATATTTTATACATTTTGGAGTAAATTTATCAAAAGGGGAGGTGGTCTAGTGAAAATTCTCATAGTGTGTACTTTCAGTTTCTTGGTTTGACTCATATCCTAGAAGAGAGAAGCTTTATTTTTGAAAAAATATAACTTTACATCCTTATATTTTGTTCGTATTTGTCTTAAGTCCCTGACTTAGAACACTGGAAAATAAAAGTGTAGTGACCTATAATAGGGACTTAAACTAAAATACGAGCAAAGTATGAGAATTCAAAGTTATAATTTCCCTTTATTTTTGCGTCAGCCCAATTAAATTTCCATTTTTCCCCTTCAAATAAAAAAAAAAAAAACCCGAGAGACAGAAACCAAACTCGCGTTTTGTGTTTCTTTTCTCTGCCACCCTCATCTTCATCGACTTTCTCTGCGACCCTTTCCTCATCCTTCCTCTTCTTCCCTCTTCTGCTAATTCACTCCAATCCTGTTCACAAGAGAATCCCAGTTCTGATTCGCATGCAGAGATAAGCGTGTGTGCGAGTCGCTGATTATTGTTGAGTACATAGACGATTGAGGTCTGGTCTTCTGCTCCTTCCATTCTTCCCTCTGATCCATATGATCGTGCCATTGCTTGTTTCTGGGCTAGTTATCTTGATGAGAAGGTACGTACTTTTATTCTTTATCTTATTCTCTGGATCATAATATTAATATAGCAGTGATCATGTGGAGTAATTAAGTATTGACATTTGATAGTAGACTGTGGACTGTGTCTGTGTGTAGTGGTTCCCTCCAATGAAATCTGTTAAGGAAGGCTCTGATTCAGCAATTACAAGAAGGATTAGCATTGATATAGAATTCTTTGGTGGTGATCGGGTCGGGTATCTGGATACTGCGTTCAGGTGCTTCCTTGGGTGGTTTAGGCTCATCGAGACACTTGTTGGGCTCAAAATGTTAGACTCCAAGACAAGTGGATTTTAATGTTAATAAAATACTAACCTTTTTTTTAAAAAAAAATTCCACACTTAATATAAAAGGTTTCATCAGATGTTAAAGAAGCATTTATTATGAGTTTTCTTTTTTAAAACATATCATTCAGAATTCATTCCACAAATACCTTCTATTTGTTTTTTTTTAAAGAAAATCAATGAAATGAATGAATATCACTTTTTTGGATTGATCATTTTTTTGGTGAAAATAAAGACTTTCGACTATATAACTTGAAGAACTTTCTTTAATTGAAGTGATTTTTAAAAGGGTTTTAATTTATAAAAGGCACTAAGAGTTGTCTTTCTCTTTTACTTCATACTAAGTGTTCTATGGTGATTGCCTGGGCATGACATCCTAGCTAGATTCAGATGTTTGTGAACTAAAAATCGTATGACAAGATCGGCACACATGGAAAAGATGAGAAGCAAGAGAATAAACTGGAAAATTTCTTTCTTATTTCCTTCTGCATTTACTTTTAGAATTTTCCTTTTCCTTTCTTGCTTCCCATTTCATCCCCTTACAATTCTAGCCCAATTTCCGCCTATTTTCACTTCCTATACGTTCCACTCTTATTTTTTTCACATGGCATTTTATTTTCCATTCCATTAATTTTGGGATATCTCCATTTAGCCAATATTCCTGATCTGAAAATAATTAATTTCCCTTCCAAAAGGAGAAAATAGAAAGCTCACGTGCCTTCCATTATTATTTTGGTTGATTCATCTCCGACTTTCTTCACAGTAATCACCTCACGTTCAGCAGCTTGATGCATATTAGACCACCGGCTCTTTAGTTTGCTTTCAACAGCACAAGCCATCCCCTCCCTTTGCTCATTCATGTTTCACAACTATCTTCTCCATCGATTGACTATTTTTCCATCAGATTCAGGATCACTCATTGATTCCATCTTAGTCTTTATTCATTTTCGTCTCTCTCCAGCTCGTCTTCTCCTCCATCCCTCCCTCCAAGATTTTTCCACGCTACTTTTCAATTCTATATTCTAAACTGATCAAACAAATCCTCTTCTGGTCCGTACAAAAACCTCACTTCTCTTTCGGTCAAATTCTTCCATCCAAGCAAATCGTGTTCATCATCCTCAATCTTCACGGCCGAGTGTTTTCATGATTTTGGACCTGGAATGAAAGCTATGATGTATGGCTAGAAGCCTGTGATCCTTGGAAGAAGAAGAGAAGCACTTGAGCCAAGCATTGAAAGGGACTAAGTTATTACTATCTTGACTCTAGTTGCAATTTCTATTTCTCAATTAGAATTTGGACCTTGTAACTAGTGTAGGCTATGTGTTTGATGAACTGCTTAGCTGTTATTTTATAATGATACATTGAGAATGGTGTTTGCTTGCTGTAATTTTTGTTTGGTCGTTGGACGACGTAGCCTAAACTTCATGTTACATTGTCATTGTTAGCACTATATTGGTTGTGATTGCATTAGTATTGTGTTGGTATCAATTTGGGATGCTTGGAACTTAATTTATCTAATTAGAACTCATTTTTCCAAGTAAACTTTGTGCTGTTCATTGGCCATACTTGATCATTGTATTCATTACATATTGGTGATGCTAAATGGTTAACTTGAACTTCCATTAATCACCTAGGATGATAGGGAACTTTTGGAAAGCTTTTAAATCAAGTTTAAGTGAGTGCTTAAGCTCATTTTACCAATGAATTGAGGTGACTTAGAAATTTAATTTGGCTAGGATAAGCTTCAACTTTCAGTCCTATATATTCCACACACATTGATTACAAACACCAATCCATTTACATTTCACTCATAAAATGGGAAAATTCACAAATATTAGAATAGTTTCATTTTATTATCCTCTTTGATAATTCAAATCAAACCTATTGTTGTTGTTTATCACAACTTAAAGTTCAATTTAACTTCTTTCAAGTCCAACCTATTGAGGAATCGACCTAGCTTGCCACTAGCTATACTAGTGAAAACTTAGTTTATTTAAGAACCCACAAGACAAATTTCCATGAATTTAGAGGAGAGGCAATTGCAAGAATGAAGAATTATTTATCGTTTAAAATGTAATATTTAGACAAATCTTTTGTTCTTTTATGATAAACTCATGTATAATGTCATCTACTTTTATTCATAAAAAAAAAAAACTCATACTTTTGTTACTTTTATTGTTAAAATGTATATATTTAGAATTAATCATGAGAAATATTGAAATTTGAAACAATTATATTTAGTCATTAACTGCAATAAAATATATAAATTTTAAATATGCAGTCAATGATTAAATGTAAATGTTTGAAATAACCTTTCTAATATATATGATCTACATTTCACTTTTTATTTAACATAAAAACATAATCAATAAATCCCACGATACCAAAGCAATGAGAAATGATAAAAAATTTAAAATATAAATCTTTTTAGTAAAAATGTTTCTACTTATATTTTATCAAAATAATAAATGAATTTGTATTGCATCGCATAAAAGGGATTAATTTTTTATGTCTAATATTTTATATTAATTTTAACATTTTTAATATGCAATTTTATTTTATTTTTTTTATCAAAGCAACTTTAACTTGCCTTGACCCCGCCGAGCGCAAGGCCATCTAATCAACATAAAAAGTCATTTAGGTTAGTTCATCCCGTTATCACCGGACATGCAAATATTCCTTTTTAATATGCTTTCTAAACAAATTATAATATCTTCTCTTTTTATTTTCAAAATTTACACAAATTTTTCTGAAACAAATTAATTTTGAAGCATTAAAATTTTTTTGAAATATTTTTAGATTAAAGATATTTGTGATGATATATATATATATATATTAGTAAACTATCATTACCTACAAGATATTATATTAGTAAAATATCATTTAAATTCTCATATGAGTCAAAGGGTTCTTGGGGAAGTATCAATGGAATTGAAGAAATATCAAAATTGGGCCAATCAAAAGTATGGGACTAAGGCCCTCATAGCAAAGAAAGAGGCAAAATGACTGCATTGTCCAAATTGGGCTAAGAATTATTGAACTTTTAAACAGAAACTCTCTTAATTCAATGTGATTTGAATTCCTACTAGCGCAGCTAGGATATGAGATCAGAAAGTCTGATATATTTTTAAAAAATAAATTACTTATATTTTACAAATATATATGGCTTATAACTTAAAAGGCTTTATAGTAAATATCTTATATTCATCATCGCAATTTATTATGATTGAATATTTGATACATTAGGTAAAAAAGATTTTATATAAAAGTTTTAGGTGAATATTGTTACTTATTTAATAATAATTTTCTCTTATATTATAAATACAGATATTGTATAACAACAGAAAATTGTGTTTGAGAAAAATGTTAAAATTAATTTTAATCCCCACTTTTAGATAAAATTTCAGTTACGCCCCCCCCCCCCCCCCCCCAACACAATGATTTATGGATTCGTCCCTGCTAGTATGGGGTGTAAATTAAAGGAGGGGTGGGAGCATGAGATGAAGATCAGTACCCATATAACATCTAGGTTTCAAAATTTTGAGGGGGTGCCTTTACCTGCCACCTTAATTATACCTAGCTCTGACGTTATTAGGAGAAAAATTTATATTTAATATTTAATTATATCTTAAATATGATTGCTTTTAATAGAGAGATACATGTCAGTAATAAAAAATAATAATAACTCAATGTGATTATTTAGTAGAATGCTCCAATAAAACACAATGTTTTGGGCTAGGCTCCAATATACACAGCGTCAAGTGGAAACTTAGAAGAGTTTTTAATTGGTTGGGGACTTTTTATTATTATTATTATTAACAAAGAAGTGATTATTTTCCGCGTTTGTTGGGCTTGGCCAAGATGAAACTTATGATTGAAGTGCTAGCAGAAGCAGTCTATAAAATTTGGCTCACTTTAGCTTTTCTTCTTTAATTTCATTTTTATTATTAGGTGCTTTTAAAATTTAAATAAGATCCAAGATCGTTTAGTCACATGAGATTAACATATCTAGAGATCAATAAAAAAGGAAGTAAGTGTATTAAAAATAAGCTAAAGATAAAAGTCTGTTAAATATGAATAAGTACTAGCAAAAATGTTCATGTACAAATTAAAACAAAAACTTTGTAATGGTCTGTTAATTAATTATGAAGGAAACTAAAAGAGAGATGAAGAGAATATTTGGAACCCTCATTCACTCACATACAAACGAAAAAATAAGTTACATGTCACTTGACAACTAAAAAATAAGACTTGAAAAAAGTGACGACTTTGAAATGGATGAAAGGGACGAGGAATTACCATGGTAGTGCTAAAAAGTTATTTTATTCGAAGTAAAAATTATGATAAAGAATCTTTTACTTTTATTATGTGGAAAATTTGGTAATAATTTAAAAAGACATTTGGAGGGATAGAAGAAGATAGCTACCACATAAGCTAAGCTAACAAGCTAATTGTAATCACCTTAGTATTTTCATGAAATGACCATGCGTCTGTAAGTCTTGTTGTGCCTTGATCTATGATTCAATCATACAGTGATTAGAGAGAAATTTACCGTTTAATTTGTGTAAGATCCATTAAAAAAGTCCCGTATATTTTGAAAAATATTTTTCTTTTGAAGCATATTATGAGAATTTAAATAATTTCTACGAAGAAAATCTTATAAATTCCTACATGCTTTAGAGGAACTCTTTGAATCCAACAAAGACATTAGAAAAATTGAAAGACAATAGAAAACTTTGTGCAATTCACAATTTTTTCCCATGAAATGACAACGAGTCTATCATAAAATAGGTTATGCAAAAATATTCACTTAAATCTTTCTCCTTATAATAAAATAATTTTGTTAAATGGTGAGGACATGTTAAATTTATTTATTACCAAAACATATAGAAGCTTCAAAATATTTTATCACTTCCAACATCTTCTCCTTACCATTCTCATACTCATGTACGGTATGTATGATTCATTTAACTGTAGATTTTTTTTTAATAAGAAAAGTCCCATGCATTCAACAGATAAAGAGTATAGCAACGAAGAGTTCAAAGAACTGAATCGAAAAACAAAAACCAAATACAGCAAAAAAATCAATAATAATCAGCACAATTTGCAAAAGAGGAAGCACGAGCAGAGTAACAAACTCCAATGGCATCCGAGGTTAGAATGGTAGACAAAGGAAGTGTTGGCTCAGACACCCACCCTAATGGGTACACATCCTTAGAAGCAACAGCTGCAAGAAAGTCAGCTGCTTGATTACTCTGACGAGGAGTATAGCACAAAGAAACACAACCTTGGACGAAAGAGCTGTAATACACCCATGGATAATACTTCTACATCTCCAGTCATGCAAATCAAGCTGATTAAGAGAAATACTTTTGACCAAGAGTAAATAGTCAGTCTCAAATATGACTTTATCATGACCCATGTTTATGGCAAGCGTGAGGGCCCTTTTAAGAGCCAAGGCTTCAGACATAAACGTAAAGAGTGATTTCACTTAATCCATAAAACCCTACTAAAATAAGCCATTAGCATCCCGGCATATTACTCCAAAAGCAGAATGTGGTGATTCTTCAGCAAAGGTAGCACCAATATTTATCTTATAAGACCCAATAAGAGGCGGCATCAATGTTTCACATTAGGATGAATAACAGTGGAGACTCTATTAGTAGGGGAATCACATGCTAACCAGAACTCGAAATGTGAATATTTGGCTAGATCAAGAACTCGTACAGGAGTAGGCTCTACATTATCAAATACTTTCACATTTCTACTTCTCCATATATGCCAGAGAAGCCAACAAGTAAATGCAATATCAACTTCAGTAAGTCCACTTTTAATATTCATAAGCCCCTCCCACTAAGCTTCAAAACTGGTCACATTATAATGATCAAACCTGATTCCTAAAATGCATCCAAACCAAACAGGTCTGACCCAATTACATAGAAAAAAGAGATGTTCAATGGTTTTCAATTCTAATCCACAAACCATACATACCTTGTTTTGAAATCTCTTTCGAGCATACAGGGAAGCATTTGTGACTACTACCTTTGACACCACTCTCTAAATGAAATGTTGGACCCTTGGCGCACATTTGATTTTCTAGATACCTCTCCAAGTTCCTAATGATACACTCCAAGAGGGGCCAGCCTTAGTTAAGGGCATCCCAGCTTGCTTTTTTGCCACCTTATATCCAAGTTTGACTTGGTAAACCCCATCTATTGCTTTTGTCCATACCAAATTATCAGCCACACCATAATTTGATAACAAAATTTGCAAGATTGCATCCAATATATTCTATGAGAGAAGATCATGAATAAGGGAAAGATCCCACTTACCTGCCACGATGAGGTCACAAACTCTGCCATGTTCTACAATGTAGGGTTGATTCCCTTATGGCTTCTTACACTACAACATTTTTGTTCTGTGGCAATGGTCTGAAACTGTTGCCATAAGGTGGAAAACCGTTGCCTATAGGAATAGGTAACGGTTTTTAGGTGTGGAATTTGCCCCTGTTACTTATTGTCTAAGGCATTAGTTTTTTAATATTTTAGGCCACAGACCATAAAACCATTGCCTATAGTCTCACTATAGGCAACGGGTTTAAGGTATTATCATATGCAACATTTTTTACCTGTTGGTATGAATAGGCAACAGTTCTTACCTGTTAACATGTTGGTATAATAGGCATTAATGGTTTTCCTTGTTGGTGTATGCTATTATAATTGGCAACGGTTTTAGCATGTTGAATTAAGGTGTTATCATGTGACTATTGATTAAAAAAGGCAACGGTTTTTGCCTCTTGCTAGTAAGAATAGGCAACATTTTTCTACCTGTACCAAGTGCTCTTGGACAATAATTCTCTTATGTTGCTATTGTAATTACAAGTTTTGACCATTGCTTTAAACATTAATTGCTATAATATTTTACCTAAAATGTAGTTTTACTTCTCAATTTAAACACAATTATTATTATATATTGATATTGGATGAAGAAAAATTCTTCTGCCTTCATATAATTACCAAAATGCCCTTCAGCCAAAAAAAACAAAGGCCAAGACACATGTTGCTTCTTCCTTTTTTATTTTTCTCCTTTTTTCTTCTTCTTTCTGTCGGGGGAATGCTCCAGAAATCACAGAGATAGGGAGTTCTTCGATTTTCTTTCCTTCTCCATCTTCTTCCATCTTCGGCGTCGTCAGTGTGAGAGTGTGCCAGAGCTTCATCTGTCACTGCTTGTCAGATCATCAACGTCCTTCTCCTTTCTGTATGTGAGTGATGATGTGAATGTTCAGGTCTCTCTTCCCTTTCATTTTCCTTATCGTTCGTCGCTGCTGAAGACTACGGAAGCTCTGTTGAAGCTCTTCCTCTATTAGCATTTAAGACTCTTCTCCCTTCTCGCCGTCCGCTGCTGGTGACTAAAGGAAAACACTGAAATCTCCTTCCTTTGACAGTGCTGTGGCGCGCGTTTTCGTCGGGCTTCTTCCTCCCCTATTTTTTTTTATGGTGAACTCCTCTCCTCTCCTCTCCTCCCTCTGTTCGAGCTGCTGTGACAGGTTGAGCTCCAGGTTTTTCCTCGTCTCCTTCCAATTCTGATGCGTCATCTCTCTTTTCTATTGTGTTTTAGCATGGATTCAAACATTCCTCTCCTTTTTGCTTCTCTGTCCTATTGTTTCTATTGAGGTGAGGAACCATGATTTCCTATTTTCATTGAAAAATTTGTGCGTGTAAGTGTAAGGTGTGATAGAATTGAAGTTGCCAATTTTCTCTTGAATTTCAGCTGCTGCTATTCGTGACTGTTGAAAAAAAAAGAAGAGAGAGAGAGAGAGAAGAGTTTAAGCTGAAACTTATGTACTGAGAGCAAGACTATGATAAGTATAGGTTAGAATTTTTGAGTTAATTAGTTTGTTTGGATTGGTTGATATTGAAGAATTGGTTAAGATGATATTTGGATAAAAGAACTTAGACTTGAAGCTTGTAGAATGGTGCCCATAAGGTGCTTGATAAAATGCTAGTGAGATGGATTTGCTTGATTGTGTATTTTATAAAATTTCATTGAATTCCTTGAGAGACCTAAGTGGGTTGGATGCTATTGACTTGTAAATTGAGTTTGGTATTCTATAGAAATTTGCTCATAAATATAATGTAGATATGATTGTTAAGAAATTGTCAGACAAAAACATTTGAATGTTGAAAAGCCTTATGGAGGGATTTGGAATTTATGTACATTTGGTGTTTCGATAAAAAGTTATAAATATGGAAGACACTTATTTTCTACAATGGAAGATTTAAAATTAGATATTTTAGGAAAAGGGACTTTGTTGGTAATTCAAGACCAAATTATTTATATATATATATATATATATATTCATCTTTGGGAATATTGTGAAGTGTTTGGTGTGATGTCTGAGAAAGTTTAAAGTTGAAGGTTTTATCTTTTATTTTTAATCATTTTTGGACTAAACATTTTGAATGATGAGGAATGTACAAGAAAATGATAATGATATTAATTGGATATTAGGAACTTCAAGATCAAGCATTGACGCAAGGGTGCCAAGTAGGAGCAAGTTTTACGTTTGAGAATATGTCAGGTAAGTGGATAGCATCCCAACTGATTTTTTTTTCAATCAAAATTTCCTTTACTAAAATACTACGTTTTTCTGGAAATCATTTTAATAGCATTAATGCGATTATTGAATATTTATTGATTAATATTTTTTTATTTTGAGAAATTAGCTTTACCAAATTTGAAATGTTATTTGATCAATTAAGTCAAGTTTGAACTTTGATTATGAGATTTTTATTTTATCAAATATTGGATTAATATAGAAAATGATTCATGTGAGTTCAACGTTGAAAATTTTTTTTATTATTCAATAAATGCAAACATGGGCATTGAATATGAAACTTGATTCTGGCAAGTTTTAATGCTTAAATATATTCATGCGAGTTTGATTTTGAGAATGAGAACTGTATCTTGAAAGTGATGATTTTCTCGCATGTTTGAAAGTGATTTTAAAAAGGGACCTTATACAGAACACTGGTTGCTAACGACAATTTCGTTAGTCCTTGGCGCGCCATGGTACACCTAGCTAGCAGGGTGTTTATAGGAGGTGCTAGCCCCGTGCGACGGCCAACGCACGTGGAACGGAGGGATGGTTATTCGTGAGCATCGTACTCACATTTGTTTCGTGGCTTCGGCCGCGTTTGGTTACTTACCCTCATGGACTATGTGTCCACGTTTGTTTTGTGGCTTTGGCTGTGTTTGGTTACTGACTCTTGTGGACTGTGTGTCCACGTTTGTCTTCGTGGCAAGAGCCGCGCTTGGTTATTTACCCTCATGGACTGTGTCCACGTTTGTTAATTGTTCTGATAAGTCCCCGTAATATGAATTTGATGATTTCACATGCCATTGGCTTTAAGTAGTAAATTGTTTATAATTATTTATTTTCTTCTTTGCAATCAAGTGACGATAATATTTCATATGATATTTTAATAGCTAAAGATTTTATTTAAAACTTTATAGAATCCTTTTACTTTTGAAATTTATTAAATTTTTATGAAGATCGTTGCCTCTTTAAATTGCATGATTGTTTCAAACTTTTCTTTTATTCATATCCAATTATTTGTAGTTGGGATGTTATTCATTGAAAAAAGATATTTGGGTCTCAGATGGTATAGCGAAACTTGTAACTCGAGGCATCCATTGAGGAGTTTTATTGCTAGATGGAAGCGAAAAAAAATTATGTTAGTCAAATCCTAGTTTGACAAAAATTTGACTTTATACTTACGTTGGAACCTGGCCTTAGGTGCTCTACATAGACTACAGGTAGAATCCTCACATTTCTTTTAAAATTTAATATCTAATTTAATTATGCAATCATTTTTTAATTACCCTATTAATATGTTTAATGTATTAATTTCAGAGTTTCTTTGGCCACAACTTGAGGGATATGAGTTTTTCCCATGCCAATCCCACCTAGTTTTTGGAGTGTGACATGATCTTTCAATTCTATTAGCCTTACTCCTTTTCCATAACAACATTTTAAACAAGGACATATAACTCGATGAGGGTCTTAATTACGACAAATTGCAAACTCAATGAATTCATCTACACCATCCCAATATTCTCTAAACAATTGATTAGCCGACATCCATTTGCAATCCATATCACTAATATAGTCATAGAAATTCAAGAAAAAAATACTTAGATTTTTTCCTAAAGGAAAAACCTCCCAAATAATCAAATAATCAGATCATACAACACAATACATTTACACTAAACATATCAATTCATCCAAATTAAAATTTAGTAGCACAACACATCTAAATTCAAACAATAATCTCCCTTAAAAAAGAAACCTTCTATTCTAATTAATTAATTTTGCTACATTAAACTTTAAACTAAACTAAACTTTAAACTTAACTTAAAATAAAGGAATTTCAATCATGAAATTAACAGCCTCAAATGTCAATATAAATAATTTAAATCATATGTTATCTATATATTATATCTAAATTATTTTAAAATTTACATAAAAATTTATTATAATATTAAATATTTAAAAAATTATAATTTTAAATATTAAAAAAATACCTCCGATGGTGGCTGAACAGTGGTGCTCGCGGACAATTGTGATGCGGAAACTTCTGACTCCAATAGCGATGCGATGCACAGAATGAAGATCAATGGCGATGCGATGCACAGAACGAAGATCACAGATAATGATCGATGAAAAATGCCAAGCAGAATGAGATGATGAAGAGATGCACAGATCGAGAAGAAAATATGCAGAACCTGAGCTCCAAGCACAAAACAAAGATTGACGAAGATAAGTGTTGACTACAGATAGAAAATGTCGAACAGAATGAGACGATGAAGAGATGCACAGATCTAGTAAAGAGACATATGGAAAACCCAAGCTCTAACGACACAATGAAGAGACATGCACGGATGTTGGGCGAGTAGTGAAGAGACTCACAGAATGTTAGGTGGTGCACGGATGGGTTAGGCAGGCAAGTGAAGAGACGCATAAAAGAGACACACCGAGGAGAATAAGAAAAAGAAACTACTGAAAAAAACAAACAGAGTGAAGGGAATGGGCTATTAAAAAAACATTACCTTTTAGAGCACTATCTTACAAAGCACTTCAGAAGGTTTGGCTTCCAGGAGCGCTCAATTAAGAGCGCTTTCAGGAGCGCTCAATTAAGAGCGCTCCTAAATCTACCACTTCTAGAAAGCTAAAAATCAAGCACTCCGGAACGGTTACAAACTTTTGGAGTGCTCAAATAGAGCGCTCCTAAAGGTTATGCTTCTGGAGCGCTCAAAATCTAAACACTCTAAAAGGCTAATGTTTAGCAATGCTCCATTATGAGTGCTCTTGAAAGCTTAATGCTTTTGGAGTGCTTAAGAATTAAGCTCCAAAATATTCCATTATTTTTTATATTTTTTTTAGTTATTTAGGAGCACTCATTTAATAAGGTTTCCTAAAGGGCAACCCTATAGGAACGCTTTTTCAGTAAAGCGCTCTAGTATGTTCTACATCTATCTTTCAAGAGCGTTTTTTTATTAAGTGCTCCTAAAGACCCGTTCTGAAATACATATTTTGTAATAGTGAAGAGAGGGATAGAGTAGAAAATTTTGTGATTCATCTTGTGGTGTCTTGATCAATTAGTACTACCATACAATGATTGGAAAAGAAAATTTCTATTTAATTTGTTTGAGATTAAAAATTGTCCTATATATGGAATATTATTTTGTTTTGAGTTATAACAGTTATCTCTTATATAACAAAATGAAGCATTTACAAGATATTATATTTGGCAAAAAGAAAAAGGAAAAACAAGAGATTAAATATGTAAAAAATATTTTTTGCTGATGATATTTAAAAATACTCTTAATTTAAATTATTGTTATTATTATTTTTTAAAATATTTTAGTTTTAAAGGAAAAAGTTATACATATGTTTTAATTTTATTGGTGGAGAAAATATTGTGAGATGATTAATTTTTTTATTTTTCTAATGTGAAAAACTTTTCTTGAAAAGGTATTTGAAAGTTAAGAGAGGATGAACTAATAAACCTTGATCAAATTTTTGCATAGTTCACTTTGTTTTTTTTTTTCTTTTTTTTGGGAAGTGATAATGTCACTTGTCCTGTTTTGTTCCATGAATCTGTCATATGTGGAAAAAGTTTACAAACTAATATTTCTACATTCCAAAATTTATAATCATTTAACATCATCAAATATAAATATTTTTAGGTAAATTTATTTGTGAACATTTAATAACTATTCTTTAGAAAATCCACGTTAAATGTTCAAATTTTTCCAAAGTGCAAAAAAAAAAAAATCAAAACCATTTCAATTATTTGGCTCCTTTTATTGATAAATTTATTTAGGTAATTTTAACTTCAACAAAAATCAAATTGGAATCATCATTTTTTTAATTTTTAACCATCTAGTAGCTATTAATGATAGTAGATAGGTTAATTACATCATAGAGGTATATACTAACAACCGGTGGTTACAAGTGGGCCTTAGTGGAGAGAGGAGAGACAAAGAAGGTGATGGTGAGGACACTTATCCAATTGGAATCACCTCCTTGAGAGCAAGAGCTACAATGAAATTAGCTGTAGCATTGCCTTCATGTGGAGTAAAGGCAAGAGAAAACCCAGCTTTGCTTGCTAAGAGGTCTATAATATCTTCTAATATCTCGCTACATCTCCAATCACCCAGAGTAGGTTAATGTTTCAGGATACAAGAGATGAGGCCTAGACAATCAAATTCAAAGATGACATTATCACAGCTCAAGTCAAGAACAAGGAGAAGTGCTCTTTTTAAAGCAAGAGCTTCTGTCATAAATGCAGAAATTGACTTGATTTTGTTAGCAAAGCCCTATATAAATGTACCTAATTCATCCCTGCTGACTATACTAATAGCTGCCTCATTTCATTCTGCCACAAATGCTCTATCACAATTAACTTTAATAGAGCCCTTGGGTGGTGATATCTAATGCTGAGGCAATGTGGTTCTCCCTGTCTTAGGAACGTCATCATAAACCAAGACACAGCTCTACCAATATTCCTTAACAGCCCTTTAAGAAGATTCAATAACCTAACTTGGATTGGGCTCTACTTTTAAAAAGTTTATCATTGCGAGCCTTCCAAATAAAGCATGGAATCCAACAGATAAGGGCAATATCATATTTAGTGAAACATGCTTTGCTAGAAATAACATCAACCCACCAATTACCAAATTTCTCTATACTATTTGGTTCAAATTTCAAAGAAAGCCCATACCCAAACCATATACAGTGAATCCGGGGGCATTCAAAGAACAAGTATTCAATTGTTTCAATACCATGCACACAAACAGGGCAAAGGTATGAGAAACCTCTATGGCGAAAAGTTAAAGCTTCATTTATGGCTAGCATGTTAGATAAACTTCGCCATAAAAAGTGAGTGACATGAGGAGTAACTTTAAGCATGCATACCTTTTTCCAGGTGGCTTGAGTGATAGTAGTTGATGTGCTTGCTATAGATTTTCCATCGCTTTTATCCTTCATCACCTTGGCATAGCCATGCTTTACAGAATAAATGCCAGAATTTGCAGGACTCCAAAAAAGCTTATCATTTGATACATGAAAGGTTGTATGGCATGAAAGGTTGTATCATCTATTAAGCGAGACACACCTGCCAACCTCCATTGGCGATTATTTATAAGAGTAGCCACCACAACATCAGATTTAGCAAGCTCTCTATCCTTAGTATCCAAATGATGATTAGGTAGAGAAGGAATCCAGTTATCCTTCTAAATCAAAGCAGTTAGTCCATCACCAATTTGCCAACATAGATTTAGCTTTAGAAAATCTCTACTGTTTAACCAGTACCAAGAGGCATGAGAACCTTTTTTAACATCAAGAAAGTGCTTATTAGGGAAATAAATACCTTTTATGATTCTAACCCATAAATCATCAGGATTTTAAAATGCTCGCCATGTAGTTTTGGCCAAAAATGCAAGATTATAATTAACAAGGTCCTTAAAACCCATACCTCCCTCATTTTGGGCTTAGTCATATTATGCCAAGCTATCTAATGGATTTTGCTTCTAGTTGAGCTACTATCCCACCAAAAGTTAAAAATCAGGCTATCGAGTTCCTTGCAAGTTTTCATAGGGAACTTGAAGCACATCATAAGGTAGGTTGGAATAGCATTAACCACTACCTTAATTAAGACTTCTCAACTAGCATATGATAAGTATTTCCTAGTCCACCCATTCACTTTTGTACTAACTCTGTCCCTAACATAAGAAACTGCTTGATACTTGGTTTTGCCCCATATACTCAGAATTCCAAGGTACCGCCCAGGATCATCAGCCTCATTAATTCCTAAAATTGTGCAGACAGAGTTTCTAATAGAAATAGGAGTATTCTCAGAGAAGAAGATGAAGGACTTGTCTAAATTTGCCACTTGGCTCGATGCATCATAGTAAATCTTTAGAATCTTAGCTAGACTTCTGCAATTAGACTAGTTTACATTCATGAAGAAGAGTGCATCATCTATAAAGAAATTATGGGTAACAGTAAGACATTGAGTACTCATTTTAACCCCTTTCAATTTATCCAAAGCATGAAATTTTTCAATCATACTAGATAATACCTCAAAAACTCAAATGAACAAGTAAGGAGAGAGTAGGTCCTCTTATCTCAAGCCCCTCCCAGGTTTGAAAGAAGTAACTCTGTTTCCTAAGAAATAGAGGTTCAAGTTCACAAATTCCACATAAAGCATAATCATATTAACCCATCTAGTACTAAAACCCAACTTCTGTAAGACAAGATGAAGAAAGTCCTATTCAATTCTATCATAAGCTTTACTCATGTTTATCTTAAGGGAACTCCTCTTCATCCTTAAATAATAGTAAACTTTATGTGCTATTATCATATTATCATGAATACAACACCCAGGTATGAAGGCACCTTGGCTTAATGAAATGTACTTGTGAAGATATGGCTTCATATGAGTAGCAAGTATCTTAGAAATGACTTTGTAAGAAAAGTTACACAACCCAATCAGTCTAAAGTAAGATACATGCCCTGGTCTATCAACTTTAGGAATTAAAGTGATATTAGTATCGTTGATATCAGCCAACACAATCATCCCATCAAAGAAATCCTTAACCATCATAAAAATACTATCACTAACCTCTACACATGCTAATTGATAAAATTTATCAAAGAAGCCATCAAGGCCTGGAGCCTTTGATGCACCCAGACTAAAGACAATCATGCGAACTTCCTCTTTTGTCACAGGTAGTAACAAGCATTCATTGATATGATCATCAATTCGACGATCAATATAACTAAGAGCTTCATCAAATGGTCATGGTAGTGATACTTGGAACAATTACTCATAAAATCTTGAAAATAGATTAGACATTTGATAATTCATTCACCCAGATACCGTGATCATCTCTGATTCTTAAGATGTTATTTCTCTAGTGCCTTGAAATAGTAGATAAATAGAAAAACTTTGAATTTTTATCACTAGATTAAAGCCAAGAAATCCTCGATCTCTGCCTCCAATACACCTCTTCCTTATCCATCAAACATTCAATTTCAGCCATAATGGTTTCTGCTAATTTGGGATTCTCATATGTAATTTCTCCTTGTCTACAGTCTACTAACTCATTCTGTAGCTCATTAATTCATTTCTTACTATTAGGAATCATTTCAGAGCTCCATCGAACTAATGAATTCCTGCAATAATTAAGTCTATACATAAACACATCCAAAATACTAACCCTTTTGTCATCTAGATAGAAAACCCAATTTCTAGGAGATTTACCAACAATAATGCATAAGTCTACTAATAACAAGTGATGATCAGAGCCTATTGGATCAATATTGAAAACCTAGAGTTTTGGAAATGCTTCATAAGGATCAACATTGTCCAATACACAATCAATTCTTTCTTTAATAGTGTCAGCATCATGTCTCATACTAAGTGAACCATGACCCAGTATACCTAAGATCCATTAATGAGCAGTCTGTAATAAATAGTTAGAAATTAATCATCTTCCGAATTGCCCTTAAATTACCACCTTCCTTTTCTCTTGGGGACACAATATCATTAAAGTCACCCAAACAAATCCATAGTCTATGTATACCCTGTGCTTGTCTAATCAGAACTTGCTAAACCTAAAGCCTATCTTTTTCACATGGTGGGCCGTATATAAAGGATATATATTGCAAAAAATCCAAAGTAGAAGGAAAAATACTGGTATAAATAATATTCAAAGAGGAAGATAGAATATTAATTACCACTTCTTTGCGCCACCAAACAACAAGCCCTCCACTGAGCCCTTAAGGGTCTACAGTCCATTCTTCATCAAACCTGCACTTTCTTCTAATCTTCAACATATAGCTTATTTTCTTCTTGGTCTCCATAAGAAACACTATTTGGGAATTATTCTTTTTGCATTCATCTCTGATATTTTTGATTACGAAGGGAACCCCCAAACCTTAGCAATTCCAAGATAATATTTTCATGGTGAACTGGTAGTGTGTTCGTCCTTACCACCGACGTCAAAGCTATCAACATCTTCCTTTATGGCAGACAAATCTTCACCAAAAATAAATCTATCTGATGAAAAATTAACTCATACCTGGTAATCTTTACTAACAAGCTGAGACAATATCCTTCTTCTACCTACTCCCCTCCCTCTTCGAGAGCAAATCTGGTTTTTAATACTTCTATAGGAAACTTTGATAATTTGTGAATCCACTGACCCTTGCCCTTGAATTGAATTGCTAATCTCTGCCTCTTTCATAAACAATTTCCTACATTTAAAAGCTATTAGACTATTAGGCTCCTCTGTTTGTCGTTTAAACACAACTTGTCACAGCCCATTTGTAATTTTAGACATAGGTGATAGCCCAATAAAAGGAACTAAGGCCCCAATACTGCTTAAGTCTTCCTTAGGGAATTCAATAATATATGCTTTTGGGCTTTTAGGAATATTAACAGACCCTTCTACCTCAACTATACTCCAATTGATGTAGGCCTCCTTAGAGTTAGGCCCATTATGTAGAGTTTCACTATTAGTGACATTAGAGCTCACAAAATTGCAATCCTTATTAATTGCTAGATCCTTACTTGTAAATAGCTCCGAAACCACCTTCGCATGATCAATATGATGTAAAGGTTTCTCTCTTCTATCATCATTACTAGTAATAGAGGGATTACCTTTTATCTTTTTGCATCCTGATCTTCTCTCTAAATCTAATTTTAATGCCCAAATATCTATTCTTTCCTTGTAACAATGGTCGGCCCAAGTCATCCTTCCTCTGTCATGTGCTAGTGGTTGGAGTTTTACCAACACCGACCATTGAAGCCTCAACCTAATCAGACCTATACACTTTAATAGCATCCTTTAAATTCTTAACATTTGATATACCCATCCAACTACCAAACTCTTCCTTCTCTATTTCTTCTTCTATTTCTTCACTGGTAAATTGACAATGCTTACTATTATGTTTAATGCGGCCACACTTGTAACAAAATTTTTGGAGCCTTTCATACTTCACTGAAATCCTTACAGGTTTGCATTGTGGGTGAGGGATCCAAAATCTCGACACAAGAGGATTAGTCCAATCAACTAGAACTCTTACTTTGATAAATGATCGAGTCATTTTACCCTCGACCATAGGAGATTTAAACATGACTACTTCCCTTATAGTGTTAGCCAATTGTATAGCATTATCCCTATCAAAAGCTCTATGGGAAGACTATGAAATTGTATCCAGAATGGGCATTGATCAAAATTAATGTCACTATAGACCATAAAATCATCCCAGCATTGAAGGTTAAACAAGAATCCTTGAATAGACCATGGTTGACCCTTGATAACTCTATTATAATCTTTGACCTTTGTAAATCAGAACACAAAAGCGATCTTATTCTTATCCATATCATGCACCTCAACTTCTTTATCTACACCCCATCCTTTTTTGATCATCGAGATAACAATCCCTTTATTAAGATTTTTATCTGTTTCCAAATGTCTGACCAGAGATCTACTATTCAAGTCCTTCTTCCTTTCGAGATCCAAGACCACCTCTTTTTTTGAAGTTTCCTTCATTCTACTGCTCTCACTCACCTCCATAACTACCAAATACCAGACTCACACACACGAAAGATGCAAACACACACCCTCAATCTCACACTCACACACCTTACAGAAATGAAACCAAAGGAAATGAAACCTTTGAAATGACTTAACGAGAGTGCAGTAGCAATAATGTTAGTCACCAAACACTCAGAAAAAAGAAAGCAACTCTCATAGTGGAGAGAGAATACTCATAGAGGAGAGGGAACTCTCACAGGGGAGAGAAAAATTTCTTGTATTGCAACACCCATTATGTTTCAGTTATACATCCTCAATAAATAGAAAAAATTTAAAATGATGTCATGATTTAAATTAAAATTATGCTTCAGTTATACATATTTTCACAAGTAAATTAATTATACTAATTATTAAGTTTGAACTCTATACTTAAATTAATCATAATACATATATTGAGAATGTTAGGTTTTTATACCTTCTGGCTTCTGTTGATCACTGAGGTGAAAAGATATTAGAAGAGAAATAAAGAAATACATATTTTTTTAGGATTCTATATGTTTAAGTAATATAAAGAATTCAACATTTGTTCACTTAATAGAAATATTTTAATTTTAATCTAATGGAAATATTTAAATGAATATTCTATTGATCCTAGTTATAAAATTTATATTTACATATCGTTTCTTATAATAAACTCATTTTCAAATCTCATAAAATATGAATCAATTATATCGCATGAAGTTTTGCATTATCCCCTCAATGATAACGGCTATTCCTTTCACAATCTTCCCTAATCCCTAACGTTTTCATTGGATTTAAAGATTTCTCCATATAATACCTGATTATTCCTCTCCTCGGTGAGAGTTTCCTCTCCTCAGTGAGAGTTGTGTGTTATTTCATTCCTGTTAGAGTGAAATTGGCTATAGGTAACATACTTTGTGTTGCTAAAGGCCATCTTTTGAAGGCAATCATGTGCCTTCTTTTCTCATGAGGCAAGTGTGAGTGTTTTAAGAGAGCACGCTTGGTGTTTCGGGGTGTGTATGTCCTTTTCTTTTTTCTAGATGAGTATGGAGGTAGGAGAGAGTAGTAGGGTAAAGCAAATGACAAAAAAGAAGTGGTGTTAGATCTTTCCAACAAGTAGGTTAAGGGTGGAGGATCATTGGTGGGAAGGTTGGAAACCGATAAGAATCTCAAAAAAAGGCTAGTCATTTTGATGATTAGGAAGGGTTGGGGGTTATATAAGGAGAAGGTTCAGGTGCATGATATGGATAAAAATGCCTTTGTGTTTAGGTTTACTAAAGAAGAAGATTACAATCGAATTCTCAAGAGGAGGCCCTGGACTATATAAGGTTTCTTGAATTACAATGCTGGGATGACTTTATGATCTATAGTGAGGTTGACTTCTCTAAGAGCCCTTTTTGGGTGCAACTCCATGGTTTCCTACATGGTGCTTTTGACCAGAGAAATGCTATTCAGTTAGGTAATATAGTGGGAGAGGTGGTGTTATTTGAAAACCCAATGATTGATAGCAGGATGACCAGAATGTTAATTTGAGTAAGGGTACTTGTTGATATAAGGGAGCCTTTAGTAACTGGTTTTTGGATTCCTAACCCTACATGAAAATTGGTGTGGGTCACTGTCTAATACAAGAGGTTGCATATTTTCTATTACAAATGCGGATGGCTTGGTCATGACAGGAAGCTGTGTGAAATAATTGAAGTAGAAATAGAGGAAGAAGTAGATGAGGAAAAGTACAGAAGCTGGCTTGGAGTCTCACATGTTAGAACTCTTGAAGAAGCTGTAGTAGTGCATAAGGGGGATTGGGTTGAAACTTAGGTGATCGGAAGAACTAAAATTCTAGCGAAGTGATCATGTGAAGCCTTATAACTTTGGAAAGTAAGGAGATGAAGGCGTCAAACTTGAGTTATGAGTAAATCATGGGATATCTAATAATAATGGTATAAAGAATAATAATAGGTGTCATAATAATTGGAGGAGAGAAAAGGAAGTCAATTAAGGGAGAGATAAGACAAGTGTAAATTTATCAATTCATGAGGAGATTCAAAATCAAGGACCTATGCATGCACATGAGGAAAATGGTTCTACACATGAAGAGAACCAAATTGTGCCTAAACTGTCTGAAGCTAAAAATGTCCAACATAATGCCCAAAGTGAACATATGAAGCCCACAATTCTAAAAAGCCCTCCACGGTACACAGTGGAATTTCCTGATGAAAAGGAAGACCTCTCAAGGGCCCTGATCCTGATTAAAGGGCTATCTCCTCTATCTGGAATTACTTTTGGGCTAAATAGGATTATGCTTAAACATCCTATTGAAGAAATTTCAAGCCCTACTTAGACCAAGAGGAGGAAATTGTGTTTGATAATGCAGTAAGACTATACAGTAGTTAAGCCCTCACTCGTCAAGTTTATTGAATAAACAAAACTCCTTTCGTACAATTAAGAACTAAATAAGGGACCGCAAGGGATGTAGGGGTACATTTGTAAGGAGAATTTTGAGTAGTGCTCAAGGAAATGATCAAGTACAAGCAAATCTTTCCCTATTCCATTTTGGCCCTAAAAGGAAGATTTCATAAAATTTTGATGGTGACTCTGTTTTAAACGTCAGTGGAAGGGATGAACCCTCCACAGTTCATAATGAAACTCTTATCATGGAACTATCAAGGTTGGGGGTTCCCCTGATAGTAAAAAATTTAAAGGAAGAATGTAGAAAGCAAAAACCCTAGATTGTTTTTATTATGGAAACTAAGCAAAAAAAGAGGTATCTAAGCAAAATCAAAAGGCACTGTGGGTTTGATGAAGAGTGGATAATAGAATCTAATGGGCGCAGTGGTGGTTTAGCTCTCTGGTGGTGTAAGGAGGTTATAGTAAATATTTTATCCTCTTTTTTGAATGTGATACACATGAGTATTGTGTCCTCCATCTTTGATACACCTTAATATATCTCCTTTATTTATGGCCCTCTAAAAGAGCATGACAGGCTTAAAGTGTGGAAATGAGTTACAGATGTTGCCTAAAGCATACGTAGCTCTTGGTTGTGTATTGGAGACTTTAATGACATTGTGTCACAATAGGAGGAGGGGGGAACTTAGAGCAATGAGGAAAATGTTGAATTTTTAGAAATTCATAATTGATAGCTCTATCTGATCTTAAGTTTAATGGCTCCAAATTCACCTAGTGCAATGAAAGGCAGGATTTGGATACAATCCGGGAAAGAATTGATTGAGCTTTAGGTAATGATATGTTCTGTGAAGAATTCCCAAAAAACTCAAGTTTTTCATATGGATCCTATAGGATCGGATCATTATTTGCTTCTTGTGGATCTGAATTTTCAATCAGATAAAACCCTCTGTACTTTTAAATTTGAAGTAATATGGCTTTCTCACCCAGATTATATATAGATTGTTCAAGATAGGTGGAGACTTCAGGACCCTTATGGTAACAGTTTTATGGAGGATTCTTTGTCTAGATTATATATTTGCAAAAGATCTCTTTCTAAATGGAGCACCAAAGCTTTATTGAATAGCAAAAGACTAATTGGCCAATTGTGATTGCGCCTAGCTGAATGTGAACAAGGCAATGTTAATAAAGAAACTATTAAAATGGCTAATGACCTTATTGTAGATATAGAACGCCTCATTGATAGGGAATAATTGTATTAGAGACAACAGGCCAGGGTGTCTTGGTTACAAGTTGGAGACAAAAAGTCTAAATTTTTTCATATAATAACCATCATGAGGAGATAATGAAATACTATCCTGAAGATTAAAGATGATCAGGGGAATTGGAGAGATTTCATGTTGCTTCACAACTTTTATGATAATCTCTTCACTGCTTCTCAACCTCGTTCCTTTGATGAGGTACTTAGTTATCTAGACTGTAGAATTGATGATACCACTAATGCTACACTTATGCTTCCTATTACAAAAGAGGAGGTATGAGTGGCTATATTTAGTCTTCGTCCTTCAAAAGCTCTGGGTCTTGTCAATTTCTCAGGTAAATTCTACCAATCGTCTTAGGCTAAAGTAGATGATAGCATTTTTCTTATGGTTAAGAATTTTTTTATAGGGAAGTTTGTGCTAATAGATTGAATGATAGCAATATCACTTTGATTTCTAAAGTGGATAAGCCTGATTATGTCTCTCAATTTTGACCAATTGGGTTATGCAATTTCTCCTACAAAGTTATTTCTAAAGTTATAGCCAATCAAATGAAACCTTTCCTTCATAGATGTGTCTCCTCCAATCAAGGTGCTTTTATCCTTGGTAGAGTAATCCATGATAATATCATTATTACTCATGAAGTTTATAATTATTTGAGAAGAAAGTGCCCTACTAAAAAAATATAAGTTTGCCCTTAATATGGATGAGTAAAGCTTATGATAGGGTTGAATGGGACTTCTTAAAGCATGTCTTGTTGAATTTTGGCTTTTGTTCCAGATAGGTTAATCTTATCATGAATTGTGTGGAATCAGTCAGTCTAAATCTATGTCTCTCAGGTAACAAGGTAGCATCTATCACCCTTGGCTGAGGACTCCGTCAAGGAGATCTTCTATCTCTGTAACTATTCATTTTAGTTTTTGAG